ATCACCGCAAGATATTGTAAAATACTTCAAAACCATTGATGTAAAGCAAACCGCAGATTTGTGGGGGATTTCCGTTACAGTTATTGCGTCCACAATAGATTTAATTGCACCTCATCTTGCTATTATTTTTAATACTTCTATCGATTCTGGTGTGTTTCCTGATTTAGTGAAGTATAGTACAATAATTCCTTTATTTAAATCTGGTAGTACATTGGACCACACTAATTTTAGACCTATTTCTGCACTACCAACTCTCAGTAAAATTTTTGAAAAAATAATTTTGGATGAATTGTTAATTTTTTTTAATACAAATAAATTACTTCATAAAAACCAATTACAAGGGGTCGCTCGACGTCTGACGCAGTTAGTTACCTACCTTACTACCGACGCAGTTCTAAGTTGAAGTAACTCTAAAAGTGATCGAATTTTGATAAATTTGGCACGGAATGGCCATTGATGATGTTTCAAAATGGAAGACCACGCGAGCGAAGTCGCGGGTAAAAGGCTAAAATTTTAATATATTGATGTGTCTCTGGAAATGTGACTGCAATTATGCAGAAGCACGAAGACTTTACGAAGAGCGCTTTGCTACTCCACGAAATATACAATGGCCGTCGATGAAGTTGCAACGACTTCACATTCGTATGTACATACTGTGTATGGCCGTGATCGTGACGTATTGGAGAGCCCTCAAAGATGATGGCCAGCACCCGTATCATTATCGTCGAGTTTAGTGTCTGCTTCCCAACGACTACAAGCCGAGATTGGATTACTGTTGAGATAGTTACTCGGTAAGTTTTTATTCTTAATAATTTATATTGAAGTCGGTTGTACAAAATTTAAAATTATCTTGACCACACAATGAGCGGTGAAAACTACGGACGCTTTTTGCGAGTAGAACTCTTGCGACTAGACCTCGTTCGTCACATGTTGTTTCAACGATGGCGCACCAGCGCATTTCTCCCGTTGTGTAAGAAATTTTTTGGATAATTAATTCGACGAAAGTTCGATTGGCCGTGGTGGACCGGTCAACTGGCCGCGCGATCACCTGTTCTCACATCTTTAGATTTTTATCTCTGGGGTTTAATCGTACCCCAGTCTGTATTCCAAAAAACATGCAATACCGAGGCGGAAATACGTATGCGAATAGTCGCACAGTCTTTGAAAAAATAAAGTCCGAAATATTTGTTATGCAACGCGTGCGTTCAGACATTATAAGCCGGTGTCGCAAATACATAGAGGTACAAGGCGGACATATTGAACAACATCTTCATGTTTGCGCATATTTAACACAATCGGTCGAAATAAAACTTTAAAAGTTGTGATAATCTACTACTAAAATGATAACAGCTGAGAGATGTTACGACGGCACGACCTAAGTGCAGTTAGTGTAGATATGATGCGCGCGCGCAGAATACCAGCGTAAAGTAGAAGTTTACTTCTGTATTTCGCCTGGTGAGTGCAGGTGGCTGGAGGCCCAATTCCCCCCCATCAACATGCCAGCAGAATTAAATGGAACACTCCCCCAGGAGTGTACCAGTATCCCTGGAGAATCCCTCGCTGAGCATCCACGCCCAAGCTAGCCTACTTTTTCTGAACGTGGGTTCTAAGGTTTATACGTGGTAGAGCCATGCTGCAGCTATATTTCTGGTATAGTTGTAACACGAATGGGTCGGCTCGACCGGGGAAAGACCACGCTCTCACAGAATACCAGCGCAAAATAGCAGCTTAATACTGCTGTGTTTCGTATGGTGAGTGTAGAGAACCGGAGACCCTTTTTACTGGAAACGAGACATTCCATCTTAGTCCTCACGGGTGACACCGCGTCTGCATTTTGATTCGTAATCGAGGATAAATTTAGATGTCTATGGGCCACAGCAAGCACTTACCATCAGGTGGACTATGTGCTCGTTTGTCACCCTAAAAAAAATCAGCAAAAAAGTTGGGATCATCCGCCGAGGATGCAAAAAAAGACCGCATCCCGTCCCAATCGGCCGTTTGCGAATTAAAATGCAGATGCGTTGTCAGCCGTGAGGACTAAAATAGAATACCTCTTTTCCAGTAAAATAGGTCTCCGGTTCTCTACACTCACCATACGAAACACAGCAGCATTAAGCTGCTATTTTACGCTAGTATTCTGTGAGAGCGTGGTCCTTCCCCGGTAGAGCCGACGCATTCGTGCTACAACTATACTATTAATATAGCTGCAGCATGGCTCTACCACGAATTCTGTCACTGATGTGGTACTTCAGGGAACGGAATTATTTATTCCATCATCTGTGGTGCCTATCGGAGGCAAAACTCAGCCATGGTTTTGTCACTCCTGTAAAATTCCATTACGCTATAAGCAGAAGTGCTACCGGGCCTGGGCTGACACATCAACGACCCGGGATGTAAACACCAGCGCTCTTAAAAAGAAGTATAATTCCGTCTCCAGGTCCTTCAAAAGTGTCACTGCCAAGGCAAAATCAGAGCACATCGGCAGAATTGGCGAAAAACTAGGTCGCCTCTCTTCGGGAACACGTGTATTCTAGTCTCTCGCCAAGGCTGTCCAAGGGAACTTCTGTCAGCCATCTCAGCCATCTCTGCCATCTCTGCACAGGGTGGACGACTCTCTGGCCCATGAAGCAAAGGAGAAAGGCGATCTACTAGGCTTTCGTTTTGCTTCCAACTCGACTCTAGATGACGAGGGGAACACACCGCCAACTATCCCGCGGTGTGAGTGCTCCATGCAGGAAGTGCTGTTTACACAGCGCTCGGTGCGTAAAGCACTCCTCTCCCTGGACGTCAAGTCGAGTGGGCCTGATGAAGTCCTACCCAATGTGCTGAAGACGTGTGCTCCGGAGTTAGCACCAGTTTTAACGCATCTTTTTCGGTACTCCTACTCCCTAGGCGTAGTCCCGAACTCATGGAAGACATCTTTGGTGCACCCGATCCCTAAAAAGGCGACCGCTCAGATCCGTCCAACTATAGGCCTATCGCTATCACCTTCTTGTTCTCCAAAGTAATGGAAACCGTTATTAACTGCCAGCTCATGCGGTACCTTGATGATAACCAGCTGATTAGTGACCGCCAGTACGGTTTCCGTCGAGGTCGTTCAGCTGGTGATCTTCTAGGTTACCTAACTCATAGATGGGCGGAGGCAGTGGAGTCCAAGGGGGAGGCGTTGGCTGTTAGTTTTGACATAGCGAAGGCCTTAGTTTAGCACAAAGCGCTTCTTTCGATCGAGAAATTGTGCAATTAGATCACCAGTGTTCTTGTAGATTGGATCGGTCTTCCACAAGGCTGCGTGCTATCACCAACGCTATTGCTTCTACATATCAATGATATGTTGCAAACCAGTAATATTCATTGCTATGCAGACGACAGCACTGGTGATGCCCTATACACCGGCCGTGCCAATATTTTTCAGGAAAACGTTGCAGAGTACCGGAACAAACTCGTGTCTGAATTCGAAACTTTGTTGAACAAAGTCTCGGATTGGGAGCAACTAAATCTAGTCCAGTTCAATCCCCAGAAAACACAAGTTTGTGTGTTTACCGCTAAAATAATCCTTTTGTCGTATCGTCTCAGTTTCAGGTACATCCCTTGTTGCGTCAGCCAGTATCGGAATTCTCGACATTGACATATGGAATATCCAGCGCAGAGCGGTTGGGATCGTCAACCACAGGGTTCTTTTAGATCGGCTTGACTCACTGGCCTGCGTAGAGATGTTGCGTGAGATGTCGCTGCAGCACACACGCGTTGGCGGAAGGGGCAGAGCATGCGGCCGCGGCCAGCCGCTTGCAGATCGCGACATGGGCGCACGGGTTTGCAGACTCACTTACATTGCAAGCGAATAAAACTGACCGCCACCGCGGCCGCCACCGCAAGACGCTTCGGTTTGGGAGACGCTTTAGCTTACTGGTACGAACTGACATTTACTGAACGAACGACTTTAAAAACATATCCGTTTTAGTATATAAATTATAAAGTTTATACAGCTTTGTATTAAACAAAGTTAAATAAACTTATCCTTGGCAAATATCCCCACTATGAGGTAATCTATGGGTGAGGCCATTATTCAGTAGTGCACTATGATATACTAAAATGATGATGACAGTATTTAATAATGATTGTACTAATCCCGAACCGTGTTGTGGAGGTGTAAGAATATCCACAACCTCATCACGTGGGTGTCGTAAGAGGCGACAGAGGGAAACTGAACCAGGTGACAGGCAATAGTATCTTCGTGATAATAGTTGTATAAAAATAACTAACTGCGGTTGCTAACTCGTTTACCAAGCGAGGCAACTATGGCAAATATCAACCCTAATAAGGAAATCTATGGGGGAGGCCTATGTTTAGCAGCGACTTTCGAAAGGCTATAATGATATGGTACTAATCCTAAAATATAAATAAAGTAGACAAAGCAAACAAGTGTATCATCGCCATTAATTTTTTCTTCCATTTCTCTCGTCCAAAATTACTCATTAAATTTTCCGTGTTAAGGCGGCATAAGAAACCATCACCACAAAAGTAGCGACTGCTGTCAATTTTTCTATTCACACACATCAATTCCATTTGGTCCAGTAATTCAGGGTGGTGTTTTAAAAATAACATAATATGTAATTTTTATGCTAAAATAAAAACAAAATCTTTTTGTTACTTCTTTATTACAATCGCTTTAAAACGAAAATCTAATAAAGCTTTAGCAAAGTCAGTCTTAAGTTCATTTTTCAGCAAATTTTTACCGATTAAAATTTCCAAGTATAAGTACTTTCTGTAGAGTTTAAATATGGTATTAAATAATGCATTATTTTCCAAAAATATTCATACATAATACTGATCATGTTTAAGTATGTTTTAATGCATTGAAATATGTGTACAAAACTCAAAAGAATATAATAGTAAAAACATTTTGATACTAAAATTATAGTTTTTGAGATTTCGCGTTCAAAATGCGCAAAAACAGCAACTTAAATAGCCAATGAAACCTTTAATGAGTAATTAGCCCTAATTTAAAGATCCAATATTTTGAAAAAATATTCTACTTCCAGCAAGCCATCGACATCTAAATCACTGCAATGTATTGCATTCTGTACTTTTGTTTTTCCTAGTTTCGCTCGTAACGTATGAGGACGCAATAATCTTGCAATTTCCTGAAAGACATTTTTATAATTAGCCTATGTTAAACATAAATATAGTGAAATAATCACAACACATCTACAATCTCAAAATATACTAACAGGATCCGAAGGACCGACAAGTTTCCTAAATTCTACAGCAGTATGCACATTTTTGTCTTTAGCTACTATCTCCATAGCAACACATGGACCGCTTGATAACTCTTCAACCATTCCCTGTGATAAATTAAACAAATAGATATAAAACTTTCGTTAGTAATCATTTTATCCTTTTAATTTTCATGAAAAACAGAATAAACAGGATGTAAAAACATTTTTTTCTCCATCTGCTATCTCACACACCATGTCAAAAATCGAACGAACACGGGATCGACAAACAGCGGTATAAGCTATTCTTAGTAAATAATCGCAGCAGATTTATCATTTAAGAAAAGTTTGTCTGGACTATTAAAATTGCTAAGGGACGTATTCTTTTTTTTACCCTGACTCTTTTTATCTAACAATGGCACACTACGTTGAAAGATTAGCTCATACTCACCTTGTGGGCAGGCGGTTTGATGCCCATAACCAGTCTGTGGGATTCGTGTTTGACATTTTCGAATAAATACACCACCACTAGTAAGCCATTAGAGTTGCAGTCGCTTATTAGCGGGATACACTGCGCGCAGTGTATCCCGCTAATATGCCGTGTAGTGGCGGTCAAGAATATCCACTACCCCATATCCTCCCGTGGGTGTCGTAAAAGGCGACAAAGGGAAACAGGCAGGAGATGGGCAGCAGCATCTTCCTGATAAAAGCCAAATTACAATAAAAAAAAAAAACTGCGGTTGCCAACCCGCTCGCCAAGCGTGGCAACTATGGCAAATACCCCCCTATGAATGACAGTAACAAATAAACGGCCCCCAGTCCCCGGCGGCCCCGCTATTCCTGGCTACGGTGGCGACCATGGTAACGGCGGGGCAGGGGGTGCTAAGAATCTCCGGTGGAGGTTCGGTTGCCACCTTAGACGACTCGACCTGGCAACGTACAACGCACGCACCCTGAGGACTGACGAGAAGATCGTGGAGCTGGAAGAAGAGATAGACAAGTTGCGCTGGCATATTATAGGATTATCCGAAGTCCGAAGAGAGGGGGAGGACACGGTAATCCTCGAATCCGGCAACTTGCTCTATCACCGGGAGGGCGACCATCTGTCCCAAGGAGGTGTCGGATTTATCGTCCACAAGTCTCTCGTTAACAACGTTGTAAAGATCGGGAGTGTGTCGACGAGGGTTGCGTACCTTATACTCAGAATCACCAAACGGTATTCGCTGAAGGTCATACAGGTTTACGCACCAACCTCGGCACACCCCGATGAGGAGGTGGAGGAAATGTATGAGGATATCTCTAGAGCCATGCATTCCTCCAAAACCCAATATACGGTGTTAATGGGAGACTTCAATGCAAAACTAGGCACAAGAGAGAACGGTGAGCTGAAAGTAGGGAAATTTGGAATAGGGCAACGGAACCCAAGGGGCCAGCAGCTGGCCGACTTCATGGAGAAAGAGGGACTCTTTATGATGAACTCTTTCTTCCAGAAGCGGCCCCACAGGAAGTGGACCTGGTCGAGCCCCGACGGTTCCACAAAAAATGAGATTGACTTCATTATGACGACCAGACGACAACTGTTCAGTGATGTCTCCGTGATCGCGAGGGTGAAAACTGGTAGCGATCACCGAATGGTTAGAGGCACACTGAACCTAAACGTTAAGTTGGAGAGGTCTCGTCTAATGAAGTCAACGCTCCGTCCCCCTCGTGCTCTGTTCCAAAGTCCCGAAACCTTTCAGCTCGAGTTACAAAACCGTTTTCAGTGCCTGGAAGACTGCAATGAAGTGGACGATATGAATGACAAGCTCGTGGAAACTGTCCATGCGGTCGGAGCTAAGTTCTGCAAGACCCGCCGCAGAAGAACACAAAAACTCTCCGATCACACTCTTAATCTCATGGCTGTTAGACGGGAGATGAAGCTACATTCTTCAACAGACTTGACAGCATACAGGCATCTGAACAGACAGATCTCCAAATGCATGCGGCGGGACTTACGCAACTTCAATACAGCTCGTATTGAAGAAGCGATCGAGCGGAACCAAGGCTCCAAAGTCTTTGCCAGAGATCTGTCTGCCAGAAAGAGCCAACTGTCAAAGCTGAAGACAGAATGTGGCAGCATCGTTTCCGGGACACCTGAGATTTTGAGTGAGATTGAGAGGTTCTATGGGCAGCTGTACACATCATTGTTGGAGCCACACGCAAGTGTGAGTAACGATCCAAGAGCGAGTCTCATCCGACACTATTCCGAAGATATCCCGGATGTCAGTCTGAGCGAGATTAGGATGGCTCTCCAGCACCTTAAAAACGGTAAGGCCCCAGGCGAGGATGGAATTACAGCGGAGCTTCTGAAAGCGGGTGGAAGACCGGTACTTGAAGTCCTTCAGAAGCTCTTTAATTCTGTCCTCCATGGTGGCATTACACCGGAGGCGTGGAGCAGAAGTGCGGTGGTCTTGTTCTTCAAGAAAGGTGACAACGCTCTCTTGAAGAACTACAGACCGATTTCCCTTCTGAGCCGCGTCTACGTGCTGTTTTCGAGAGTTATTACGAATCGTCTCGCGCGCAGACTTGACGACTTCCAGCCTCCCGAACAAGCCGGTTTCCGAAAGGGCTTTAGCACCATAGACCACATACATACCCTTCGGCAAGTTGTACAGAAGTCCGAAGAGTACAATTTGCCACTATGTCTGGCGTATGTGGACTATGAGAAAGCCTTTGATTCCGTCGAAATTTGGGCGGTGCTGCAGTCCCTTCAGCGGTGCCAAGTTGACTGTCGGTATATCGAAGTGTTGAAGTGCTTGTACAGTAGGGCTACGATGGCTATCCGAGTACAGAACCAGAATACGAAACCTATCCAATTGCAGAGAGGTGTAAGACAGGGTGACGTCATATCCCCGAAACTCTTCACCGCTGCATTGGAAGACGTTTTCAAGCTTCTGGACTGGAAAGGATACGGTATCAACATCAATGGCGAGTACATCACTCACCTTCGATTTGCCGACGATATAGTCCTTATGGCAGAATCGCTGGAGGACCTAAGCACTATGCTCAATGACCTCAATAGTGTTTCCCAACGGATAGGTCTTAAGATGAACATGGACAAAACAAAGATCATGTTTAATGTCCATGTCACACCTATGCCGGTAGTTGTTGGGAGCACTAAGCTCGAAGTTGTTGACGAGTATGTTTACCTGGGACAAATAGTCCGACTAGGTAAGTCCAACTTCGACCGAGAGGTCAATCGACGGATTCAACTCGGCTGGGCAGCGTTCGGGAAGCTACGACACATCTTCTCGTCAGACATACCTCAAAACCTTAAAACGAAATTGTACAACCAGTGCGTGTTGCCAGTGATGACTTACGGAACTGAGACGTGGTCCTTCACTGCTGGCCGTATGAGGAAGCTCAAGGTCGCTCAGCGAGCTATGGAGAGGGCTATGCTCGGAGTTTCTCTGCGTGATAAACTTAGGAATGAGGATATCCGCAGTAGAACCAGAGTGACCGACATAGCCCAACGGATTAGTAAGCTGAAGTGGCAGTGGGCCGGCCATATAGCTCGAAGAACCGACAACCGATGGGGAAGAAAGGTTCTCGAGTGGCAGCCTCGTACCGGTAGGCGAAGTGTAGGGCGTCCCCCCACGAGATGGAGTGACGACCTGGTAAGACATGCAGGAAGTCGATGGATGCAGGTGGCTCAGGAACGTGGTTTGTGGCATTCTTTGGGGGAGGCCTATGTTCAGCAGTGGACTTGTGAAGGGCTGTAATGATGATGATGATGATGACTGCGCGCAGGAGAGGTTGGCATTCAAAAAATATGGTCTATCCCCCATAAAACCCATTAAACTGTGTAAAGATACTTTTCATATATTCTTATTACCTTATACTCCTGAACAATGCCTTTATATACTTCATAAAACTCAGCAGCATTGTCATTTTCCACAATGAACATGTTCAAAGCTGTAACCTCAAACCCTCCTTCGTCAATAGCTTCCAATGCAGCTCCTAATTTCCCTTCGCGAATTGCATGCGGTTTTACAATACATAGTGTACAGTTCGATAGAGTTGCTGTCAGACGAAGGCGCATGGCACGTAATGGCGGCGGTGGAAAAAAATATTCAATGTCCTGTTAAAAACATTTATATATTATATTATAATAATGTCCTCCAGACCGAATTTCAATCACGGCAGCCAGCCTGAACGGAGACCAGCCATCGGCGGAGAACAGGACTATAATGCCCAAGTGTATGCGCAAGCACAGGTGCACTCTCTATTCCCTCACTCTCATAATCAGATGAGACGGTAAACCAACACAACCGGAGAGATCAGGCGTAGGACCAACGTGCTTTCCGGGTGTGATACACCGCCAACTTCCTGACTCTGGGCAGCTACTGATAATTTCTATATATTGAAAAGCTCAATAACTGATTTTTTGGCCCGACACGGGATTCGAACCCGGGACCTCGTGATCAGCAGTCGCACTACCACAACCACTAAACCAACGAGGCAGTCGCATATTATGTATTTATTAAACCTATAATTTTTTTAACAATTGTTGTCAATGTTGTCAAGTAGAACCTACATGACTTATGGTGGGTGGCAATCCATTTTATGTAAAGAAAAATTGTGACTGATGGAGCCAATTTTTTTTATATACGTTACCACTACAGTGCGATTTTCTAGGAGTTTTACATACTCATACATATGTCACATAAGGACAAACATCTAGATCGAGAGCAATTATTTGTAAGCCATACAATTCAACTTTTGTATAAGTATGTTTCCCAAAACTCAACGCAAAGCACACTCAAGGCACGGTGGGAACCTCCCCCCTCTCGTCACTAATACCAGCCACAGGAAAAATAAAAAATACATATCAGTTAGTTCAGTTCTAACTGACAAATTTATTCAGATGAGGAAAATCGACAACTTAGATCTAATCATTAGGTATTGTGAGTTGTGACCACAAATTTCTCAATTTTACCACAATTACACAAATCACCACAATTCAATACCATTTTTTTGTGATTTTTTTACTAATGTGCTCTTAAATAAACATGCTGTTAATCGCAGTCAAAACAAGCAAAACAAATAGGTTGCTAGGTTAGTTTCTTTTAGTAGTAGTGGACCAAGGCTCCAAAGTCTTTGCCAGAGATCTGTCTGCCAGAAAGCTGAATGTAGCAGCATCGTTTCCAGGACACCTGAGCTTTCGAGTGAGATTAAGAGGTTCTATGAGCAGATGTACATGTCATCGTTGGAGCTACACGTGTGAGTAACGATCCAAGAGCAAGTCTTATCCGACACTATTCTGATGCTATACCGGACGTCAGTCTGAGCGAGATTAGAATGGTTCTCCAGCACCTTAAAAACGGCAAGTCGCCGAGTGAGGATGGAATTACAGGGGAGCTTTTAAAAGCGGGTGAAAAACCAGTACTTAAAATCCTTCAGAAGCTTTTTAATTCGTCCTCCATGATGGCACTACTCTGGAGGTGTGGAGCAGAAGTGCAGTGGTCTTGTTCTCCAAGACAGGCGACAATGCTCTCTTGAAGAACTACAGACTGATTTTCCTTCTAAGCCACATCTATGTGCTGTGTTTGAGTCATTACAAATTGTCTCACATGCTGACTTGACGACTTCCAGCCTCCCAAACAAGCTGGTTTCCAAAAAGGCTTTAGCACCAATTGCCACATACATACCCTTCGGCAAATTGTACAGAAGACTGAAGAGTAGAATCTGCCACTTTGTCTTGTGTAAGCTACCGTGGCAAAGGGTCAGCCATATAGCTCGAAGAATCGACAACTGATGGGGAAGCAAGGTTCTCGAGTGGCAGCCTCGTACCGGTAGGCAAGTGTGGGACAGCCCTCCACTAGATGAAATGACAACATAGTAAGACAAGCACGAAGTTGATGGATTCAGTTGGCCTGGGACCATGTTTTGTGGCCTTCTTTGGGGGAGGCCTATGTTCAGTAGTGGACTTGTGAAGGGCTGTAATGATGATGAAAGTGATGATTCCCCTTTAAAATATTAACTGTATAGTGGTAGTGTAAGAATATCCACTACTCTATAATCATCTCATGAGTGTTGTAAAAGGTGACAAAGGGAAACTGAACCAGGAACTTGACAATGGGATATGAACCAAAATGGAAATAAACCAGCATCTTCCTGATAACGCTAAATAAAAATAAAACCTGCTTGCGTAGCCTGGCAACTATAGCAAAAATCCCCCATATAAGGCAATCTATGCAGAAGGCTATGTTAAGCAGTAGACTTTCAATAGGCTCTAATGGTATAGCATTTGTTACATACACAAAAACATTAATGTTAAATATATGTAGACATAAACAATATATAAGGTTACCTGCAATGCAGCTTCAGGATTGGAGGATGTATGAACACAATTTCTGACTGAGTCAGTTCCATATAAAGCTCTTATTGTACCTGATTCAGCTTTCACTGGGTCTGGATCTCCAATAATTTTAAGACAGTGTGACACAGCATCTTTTCCAACCAACTCCATACCAAACACAAGCTGACCATTAAGGTGTTCTAATAAGAAACTAAAATTAATTTTCTTAATTTTTTTAAAATGATGACAAAAACAAATTATACAAAATTAAAAAAACAAGTAATTGGTATTCTTTTCAACCCTTTGAAAACTACAATAATTGTTTTTTAAACTCACGGAAATTCAGGATCTGCTATAGAGGATCTGTATAGCATATTAATATCTTCTGCAGTTAATCGAGACTTTTTCATCTTTGTTACACGTAAACCATTTTCAAAGAAGTGATTTACAATCTTGCCCACAATGCTTGTGGGTAAAGGCTTAATCATCACAAATGTACTGCAAATAAAATATTATCAATAAAATATGGTTTCAGAATATTGAAAAATACCCATAACAACTAGCATATTAATAATATTAATATTTCTTATTAATGTTAGGTACACTTACACTTGCACATCTTTATGTAATAATTTTCTAGTATTCTCACAAGCAAAATCAACTATTTTAATCAATCGTCCTAATATATACAGTGTACAACCAATATAAAAATTATCTAAGGTAATCCCATTAACTTTTACTCGCCTAACAAAAGTTTTTCGATTTTTCAAATCATACATTTCAATAGTATCATCAACTGGATAGTAAAAAACATTGAACCGGCGAATTAGGCTAGCCTGATTATCATACCATTCTCCAATAAAAGAATATTTGTCTTGATATGTCCCTTCCTACAAGTAAATTACAGACATATTAATTTTATTAACGAGTAGTTTTAACTCTCATGTAATACCTAAGATATATACCATTATTTCTTTTTCTAATCAAAGTTCACAAACGGAAGCTGGGGAAATCAGCTTTTCTAGTTTTTTACAGTATATCGCCAGGTGTGATATTAGTAAATAATGTTATGTTCTGTAACCAAAATAAAAACCGGCAACGGCAACATTTTTTATCAACAACAACATGTCAATTGTAAATGTCAATGTCAGATCAATCAACGAATCCTTTAAAGGAAAACAATATATGCCCATACAGCCTAGTATGACGTATTATTCTTTCAAAATTACAACACATTGCGAAGTATTTATTAGATTTTGACGAAAGCTACTAAGTACTAATGCGGGCACATCTTTGACTTCTATATATGGACTGGCTAGGTATACACCGTGACATAATGAATGAGGCGATTTGAACTAATAATACACGCAGACTCGACTACTTCAAGCATCCCGAACAAGCCGGTTTCCGAAAAGGCTTTAGCACCATAGACCACATACATAGCCTTTAGCAAATTGTACAGAAATCCGAGGAGTACAATTTGCCACTATGTCTGGCGTATGTGGATTATGAAAAAGCCTTTGATTCCGTCGAAATTTTGGCGGTGCTGCAGTCCCTTCAGCGGTGCCAAGTTGACTGTCGGTATATCGAAGTGCTGAAGGGGGTTTTTGGCGGGAACTTGATCGGCAGCGGTTTGCTGCTCCTGTATTATTGTTTAAATAATGGTTTGAAGTGGATTTTGATATGTAAAAGTGGTTTTTGTGTATTAAGTGTCTGCACATGTAAACTATTAGTGGAAACGGTGAAACAAGTGCTCTGATGGTGATGTGATTCTCAAGATAAGATGTTTGTCTGCTTAGGCAACTTGAGATGTCATCGCCAACTGTAATATATATATATATTATTTTTAACTGGGAGTCCCAGGAGCACTGCGCCGCCTAGCCCCTGGGTCGCTACGCCACTGGACATAACCCAACGAATTAATAAGCTGAAGTGGCAGTCGGCCGGTCAAATAGCTCCCACATATTCTCTAGTGGCGGCCTCGTACCGGCGGACGAAGTGTAGGAAGTCCCCCCACTAGATGGAGTGACGACCTGTTGAAACATGCAGGAATTCGATGGATGCAGGTAGCTCAGGACTTTGCTTTGTGGGATTCCCTGGGGGAGGCCGATGTTCAACAGTGGACTTGTGATGGGCTGTAATGATGAAACTCTATAATGTTATCTTATGGTGAGTGTAGAGGAAATGGTCTCGCCTTTTTACTGAAAACGAGACATTCCATCGTAGTCCTCAAAGGTCAATCGAGGATAAATGTAAATGTCTATGAGCCACAGCATCCACTTACAATCAGGTGGACTATGCGCTCGTTTGTCACTCATATTCTATTAAAAAAATACTACTACTACTACAAGGTATTACCAGCAAGAAACATCTAACGCCACTAAAATATTTTTGGAATAACGCTTTCTTTTCCGCGCGTTTAGTAATTAGGCCAGAACAGACTCACTATTCTTAGAATAGTAAATGGTAAAACTTAAAATTGATTTATTCTCCAATAAGAATAAGATTTATTCCCGTTTCGTCGAATCTACCCTTAATTAAAAATACTACAGATTGGTTCTATAAACCTATTACGAATATATTACTGACATCTTTAATTCAATGCATACCTACTCTCGTCGTAAATGTTATGTGTATTATCTATAATCACTACGTTTTATAAAGAACAACCTAGGCGTCGAACACAAATATCTAGCATAGTGATTAATTATTATTATTATTATTTAAACTTCATATACACATGTGGTATATAGGCTGACTTAATGCCTAAGGCATTCTCTACCAGTCTAGTTACCTTGGGATGATGCAGAGATAGAATGAAGTAGGTATAATAAAAGTTAATATGCGAATACTAAACTAAAATAACGAAAAAAAATTGGAATACATGGAAATAAATTACATCTTGAACTTGAATCTTGAATGCATAACGATTTCTAGCCATCCTGATGGCCAGAGGGAGTGCGTTCCAAAGGAGAATAGATTGAATATGGAAAGAAGAATGAACAAGTCCAGAGCTATGGGAGGGAATGGGAGGTATATAGGACAAGCAGATTGTTCGTAGAGCGGAGGTTTCTCTCATGACTAGTACTAAGCAACGGAAAGTAAGGAAATAAGTAGGAAGGGGAAGTTGGAGACACCAGGATAGAATAAAGGGTGGTGAGTGCACGCAAACTACGGCGTTGACGAATAGGTAACCATTTTAATTAAGAACGGTACGTGGATACATGATCATACTTTCGAAGATTGAAAATGAATTTTATGCAGTTATTCAGAAGACGGTCATATTTGTTGAGAAGATCTGCATTCAGGTCGAAATAACACACAGCGCCATAGTCGATTAGGGGAAAAATTAAACTTTGTGTATAACTAAGTGTATGCTGTTTTTTTGTCGGGAACTTGACCAAAGGTGGATTGATGCTCCTATTTTATCGCTTAAATATATATAATAGTTTGAAGTGAATTTAAATAAGTTAAAGTAGTGCGATTTTGTGTTAAAAGTTGACGCATATAAAGTATTAGTAAAAACGATGTAACAAGTGCTTCGATAGTGATATAAATCTCAGAGTTTTTATCCGGTTAAGGGCCTTAAGATATTATCGTCAGCAACTATCCGCCGGATTATACAGTCGTCAAAATCTCCCAAGAACTTCGCATTGTAACACATTGGCACATTTTAAAGAGTTTTGTTAACAAAATACATATCAAATAAGGTTGTATGGTGTAATACCTTTGTCTGCCTTAATTGGAGAATCGTAACAAGATTAGAGGTAACTGAGTACCTAAATCTAGCCCCCATAGATTACTATATATTATATATATTACAATATATATATTAACTTCTCAGAGGTCACGCCTATCTCGTTGTACCCGAACCCAACGGGGTGTGATATCAGTTTCTTGGGGTAGAAGGTCACTCACCAGTTGACCGCCGTCTGTTGACGCTTTCAGCTGGACCTTCGCAGCCGGATTTAGCAGCTAGCTGAAGGACTGACGACGAATGACCGCTGTGACCCTTTCAGTTGGTTCTCAATGCTGTTGGAACTGAAAGGGAATTTTTGACGGCTCCGTGGCGCAGTGACTTAGCAATCAGTTGTTGCGCTGGGGGCCGCGGGTTCGAATCCCGCACGGAACAAGTATTTATATGGCCTACAAATAATTGTTCCGGGTCTGGATGTTTGTCCTTGTGCAATTTATGTTTGTAAACTGCCTCCACGACACAGGAGAAAATCCTAGTGTGGGGGTAAGGTTTTTCAAAAAAAAATAGTCAAATAATAGTTCATTAGTAAGAGTTTCTGTTCATAAAATACGCAATATTCAACCGTTATTGGAATATATATTTAGCTCATTTAGCTGAATGATCGCACATATTATTGATATAATTATAATCATAATAAGACATAATTATTATATTCACAATAATTCCTAATTTATATTTACATGATAAAAAAATACAATTTCTTTAAAGTTTTTTTGTTTATTTTTCAATTTTTTAAGTTTTATTAACTTTTAAATATGTTTTTTGTTTATATAATCTTATTCTTATTTTATGTACAAGACTTAGGACTTCAGTTCTTTTCTTACTTACATATTTACATTCAAAAACATCAACTGCTTCACTTTCTCAGTTTTAAGTCTTGGCCGACGATCTAATATTAAGTACCCAGACTTGGAATCGCAGGATACTGATTTTAACTATTAACTATTACTCGTATTTGACTGGGTATTATTGAATGACCTAGTATGAGAACATTCGTATTACCTAATATGAAACTTTTGCCGTGTACCTATTATATATACCTAATATGAATATATTAGTCACACCTCTAACTTCCTTTCAGTTAGTATATTCAAACTTCGTTCAAACTGAGGCATATCCCGCGCGGGACGCGGGACGCGAATCTTCGCGATTCACTCGCTCGCTTAACCTCCCAAACTGAGCTGAATCCCGCATGTCATTATTTTTGGTTTCTCAATAGGAAAACATGTCTTTTGATATTAAAGCAGAGGTTTTGTTGTTATTAGTATTAACTGAAGAAGAATCTCAAGATTTTTTTCAAGGGTGATAAACGAGCACACAATTCACCTGATGGTAAGTAGTTGCTGTGGCCCTCAGTCATCTACATCTATCCTAAATTAAGAATCAAAATGCAGATGCGTTGTTAACCTTGAGAACTAAGATGGAATGCCTCTTTTCCAGTAAAAAGTGTATCCGGTTCACTACTCACCATACGAAACACAGCAGCGTTAAGCTGCTATTTTACATTGCTATTCTGTGAGAGCGTGGTCCTTCCCCGGTCGAGCCGTCCCATTCGTGATACAACTATACCACTAATATTGCTGCAGCGTGACTCTACCACGTACAGCGATGTGATAGATAGATACGAGATGTGAGGAAGAAAATAAGATAATGGTTCATTAGCTGAGTACTCAAAGCATAGAATTTGGAGAGTTCCACACTTTGATACCCACATTACGAATAGATAAAAAAAGATTTTATATATATTTTCGTATGCCAGAACAATATTATAACGAAGTTTTATCAAGAATCGAACAAAATATTTTGTTTTCTTATTATTTTTATATTCTTCGTGGCCGATGTCATATAGAAGTCTTAGTCTTGTTTTCTTGTACATTTTCAGGCACCATCCCGCATATATTTCGAGCAGCACGTGCGCCAATGTGAACACCTCCATACAAGGTAGATGTTAGCTGACGCAATCGACGCGAGCGAATCGTGTCCCGCGTCCTTTGCGGGATTCGCCTCAGTTTGAACGAATTTTCAAAGATAATAGTAGTTTCGAGTTCGCGGTCGACGCCCTGCCATTAGGCTACTGACGCTTCAAAATCGAATTAATAATTTGAAGGTCTTGGGTTCGATTCGAGTTTGTCGTTTTCTTAGCAATATTTTCTTAATAAATTCATAAAGGGAATTTTAAGATATAATTCATGATTCCGGGTTCAGTTCCCC